AACCCGTGTCCTCTGCATCGGCAGGCGGACTCTCAACCACTGCGCCACCAGGGAAGCTCACAGTTACCCTTTTTTGGGGAGAGTGGTGAGGATGCTTGAGATCCACATTCTTAGCAAATTTCCAGTACATAAGGCATTATTGTTAGCTACAGTCACCATGCTGTATTTTAGGTCTCCAGAACTTATTCATCTTATAACTGAAAGTTTGTACCCTTTGACCAACATCTCCCTTTTCCCACCCCCTATCACCCCACTATACTTTTTTGAGCACCTACTATGTTCCAGGCATTTATATACATTATATAATGGCTTCGTATCCATAATACCATTTAATCCTCACCAAACTCTGTAAGGGACAACTATCCCTCTTGCACAGAAAAGGGAACTGAAACCGGGCTATCTGAGGGCCACGTTGCTCTGGGTGGTAGAGCTGGGATTTTTGCTTTTCTCACTACCACAGTTCTTTCTACTCATTCACTAGGCTTCCTCTCCAAAAGAGGTGCTTAATACTTAATGTCTACTGCCATTAATTAATTAATGTCTGATTTGCTGAGAGAAGGTTATTACTATTGAAGAAGGCCCAGGCAGGATACATGTGTTACATGGGCAAGGGGGCCAGGGAGAGACACCTCAAGGGGTTACTGCCAAATGTTCTCCCTCTTCCTTGCGGAAAGAGCTTTTCCCACATCTCACACACAGGTGCCTCTGCCGGGACCATGCTTCCTAACCTGGAAAAGTTTTCAAGGCTGAGCTACTCCATCACCTCTTCCAGGGAGACTGCCCTGTTCCCTAGGCTATGAGGGGCCACCTCTGGGCTTCCCTCTGTCACAGCCTGGCCACACTGTGCTCTCATCATTGGTTTTTACCACTCTCTGTCTCCCCATCAGCTTGAGGGAACCTGAGGACAGGTCCAGTCTGACTCATCCCTGTGTTCCCAAAATGCCAGACTCTGGTCCTTTCCATCACTGCCCTTGTGCCACCTCCTACCCACAAGGAGGCTGCTTCTGGGAGTGGCAGGAACACACAGGTCTGCAGCCAGGGAGCTGGCAGAGGACCCAGCCGGCAGCACCATCTGTCCCTGGAGGCACAGGACAGAGCAGGCACAAGGCAGAGGTGTCAGTTCCTCAGCTCAGCCAGGTCAGCCCAGGACAAGGCCCAGCTGTAGCTCAGGGTCAGCCGAGACTTCGAATTCTCTAACTAGCTCAAAGTGACTCAGTGCCAGAGCCTTGGTTTTCTTAGCTGTAAAGCTAGCTGGATACCAGCAGCCTTGCAGAGCTGTTGGGAAGTTTAAACACACCTGACACTCCGTAGGTGCTCAACAAAAAGCTAGCATTTACCATCTCATCTGACCCACTGACCCTGTCATTAACCCACTGAGGAAACTGAAGTCCGGATGAGATGGAAATAAAAGAACCAATATTTACTGTGGCCAGTTATGTGCCAGGATCTACACTCCTCCACTGTCTTTAACAAGATCTGCAGGAACAGACCTGGTTCACAGATGAGGAAACAGGTCTACAGGGAGTGAAGTGTGTGAGCGTCTCTAAGGCAGTTATCTGGACTCTTACCACTGTCCAGCTCGGACCCACCTGGACCAGGCACAGGTGAAGGGCAGGGGTGCAGCCTCCCCTAGGCCCTAGGAGGTAGAGGCAGGAGGTCAGCCCTGAATCTGCATTGTCAGTGTGTGAAGGTGGGCAGAGGAGGCTGGCATGGGGTGAGTCTGGGTGTGAGATCGAGGCCACTTTCTCGGTGGCCAAGACAAGGGCTGGAGAAGGGGTCCCAACCTAGCAGCTGGGGGTTCCGAGTCTCTCGCCATTGGTACAAGCCCAGGCACATCCTCTCACTTCTCTGTGCCTTGTCTGCACCAGGGCACTGATCCTATGGCCCACCTCCCTATTGTGAGGGGTCAGAGGTGGATGGGAAAGCAGTGGGGACCTTCATGGCGCTGGAGGAGAGGAACTCTGATGATGTGTTCTCTCGGGTTGATGAGCTCAGTGTGCAGGGACTGCACACCTTGGCACCGAGACTGAGGACCAGAGATTCCCCAAAGAGTACACAGTCTGGTGGGCAGAACAATAGGGCCCACAGCACTCCAAACCCCAAACCCTGCCTCCGGGGTCCAGGCCCCCAGCCTGCAGCACGTTGTAGCCATGTCTCAGCCCCTTCCAGCTGCTCTGCCCTCACTCACTCCACTCCAAGCCATGCCAGCCTTCGTTCGGCAGCTCAGATGCACCAAGCTCCCCCCACATTGGAGCCCATAAATGAATACTATTCCCTCTGCCTGGAACGCTCTTCCCCCATCTCCTCCCATGGCTGCCTCCTTCTCAGCCGCTGGGTCTCCGCTCAGTTGTCACCTGGTCACAGAGCTCTCTTGTGACCTCTCTCATTATTCTCTAACAGTTCTCTGTTCTCCAGACAGCCTGAGTTTAATCTCAGCAGTGCCACTTACTAGCTGTGTGACCTTGGGCAAGTTACTTAACCTCTCTGTCTCAGTTTCATCTTTAATATGGGCATGGTACCACTATCTACTTCACAGAGTTGTTTTAAGGAATATATGAATTAATACATGCTTGGCACATAGCTAGCATTTATATGACATTTATTATTACTATTCACAGCTCTTATCACAGATTTTCATTGTATGTTTCTTTGACTACCTTTTCACTGTGTCTCCCTCATTAGCTGTCAGCTCCACACAATAGCCTGGGCTCATCACTGAGTACTCAGCGCTGACACGGGCTAATCCCTGTAGATGGAACAACTGAGGCCAGTATAACATCCCGAGGCAGCACCATTAATTCTGGGAGCAGCAGGATGGGGGTTTGAAGGGGAATGATGGCTGAGCCAGGTTTTGAAGGATGAAGATGAGTCTTCCAGACTAAGAACACCAAGGCTATCTGCCCATGGCTGAGACTGGGGTTCAAATGTGGCTCCCAAACAGGCTGAAGCTAAGTGTCTGAGTCTCATCTCCTCCTCCAGGAAGCCTGCTGGGACCCCTTCAGCCCACTCTGGGCTCCCATGGCCGCTCATTTGTTCACAAGTTTTTGTGTTCCTGCTACATGAGAGGCACATTATTTTACGTCTAAGGGTCTCCCTTCCTCCACCACACAGCAGGGTCCTTGAGGGAGCTGGGCCCCTACTTTTCACTGTCAGGACCAACCTCAAGGCGGTGCACAAACCCTTCACACACATCCAGACCCCCAGGATGTCGAGGCTGATGGGGACCTCAGAGGACAACCAGGGAGGGGGAGCGCGTGGCCCAAGGTTACATGTCAACGATGGGGTGAAGAAGAGATTCTAATCCAAATGGTATACCCTAAGCCTCCCCACACTCTGAACTAGACCCTGACTGAGGCTGGCGCCGGGGGGCTGGGGAGCAGCATCTCCAGCTGTCCTCGGGTTCAAGGTGAAGCAGGGGGATCGCCACAGGGGGTCAGGAACAACGTGGAAGTCTGTGGGTGCGTGAACACATGCACAGATGCTCACGTCTGTTTCTGACCTTCAGCCACCCTGTTGGCAGCACTACCTGGGTGCAGAGCTTCACAGGGGGAACTGGGACAAACAGCTCCATCCTCATTCCCAGAGTAAATGAAGTTCCTGGGCCCCCTTGGGAGCTGCCCGGACCAGGCTAGAACTCAAGCAGAGGTTCCCAGCCTCCCACAGGGTACCAGCCCAGGAGTGTGGGACTCTGACAGCTTGCGTGGGGAAGAAGAAGGGTCTCCACTGAGAGAAACAGGACAGGTGACCCTTCCAGCACCACCACACAGGCACTCAATGCTCCTCCAACCTCCCCCGACCCCACCCCAGCCTGGCAGGAGGCTCACCACCTCATTCATTCACTCACACGTGCCGAGTGCTTGCTGGGTTACCCAGTGATGGGTGAAAGCAAAAACCATCCGACTCCAAAATGCTCACTGTCTGCAGTGCCATGGGATACTGACAAGGGCCGCCAAACCCTGTAAAGCAGGGCATGTGGGTTATCTGAGGCCCTCCTTTAACCCGGTTTTCTTTGTCCCCAGTGAAGAGTTTGGTGGGTGGGTTTGCTTGCTTTTCATTAATAGCAGCTTTGGTAACAACCCAGAAAATGGTCTCCTCCTGTATTCCAGGGGAATTTGGAGAATTCAGAAGGAAACAAGGGGAGTCCAAGGAGATCTGCCATGCAGGCAATGATCCAAAGGTGGTGATCAAGGCCAGTTATACAGATAGAGGGAGGGGGTGGAGAAGAGATGTCTTTATTTGCCCCTGCCCCTTTTAAAAGGCTTTTCCCAAAAATGTCTTCAGAGGATGGTAGCTCTACACCCAGCATAGCACGTCTGCCACTCTGTCCTGAACGCTTCTCCATTCCCCAGATCAAAGGCTCCCGACAGGGACCGCTGAGCACTTGGGTCTGTCTGGTGCCTCAGCATCTAATCTCAGCTGCAAAGTCCCTGTTAGGAGGTTCCAGGGAAACGTTTTCTGCGAGGTCACCTTGCAGAACACCTTTCCAACAGCCCTCATTTGGTCCTGCACGTGCTCTCCCAAAGAGGTCATTGTCCCCAAGAACCCTGGCTTCAGCCTGTCACACTCACTCACACGCACACCCTTAGCCTGTATCTTCTAGCAGCTCCGTGGCCCTCAAGCCCTGAACTCTAAGAGTTAAACACTGCGGAGCCACGAGCTCAGCCGTCAGGCAGAAACCAGCACAGAACTCCATGGGGAGAGACACACACCCCCAGAATAGAATTCCAGACGCAAAGAACTTGCCGAAGACGATTCCACTCAACATAGCCAGCCCTCCTAACGGCCCCTGGGGCTTGTTTGGGGATTGTTGCTTATAATAAACCAGCCCAGGAGTTCTGTGATTTCTCCTTGCAAAGACAGCTAGAAAATGGCCCATGGAAAATGAGAGAGAAGATGTAGGACTTCTGACTTAAAATGGAAACTTCAGGTCTCTTTCGGGATCCCCAGCCTCCAGTCCCCTCCCCTCTGCCCCCAACCCGCCCCCAGCCCACCCTCCATACCCTTCGCAGGTGATTTCCGACATTCTGGATCATTGCTGCGACACCCCGCTAGCTGTTCGCACCCTCCTCGGAGAGACACTGGTCACCTGAGCGACAGCCCGGCTCCAGCTCCAAATGAAGCCGGTCCGCCTCTCCTCGCACTCCTCCCCGGCTCCCGCCCCTCCTGAGCCAGCCGTTATCAGTTATCACCGTGTCCCGGCCTTTCCTCAGACTGCCCTCGGGCTGCCCTTCCCCTAGCGCCCCACACGGAGGCTCCGAGCCAGCCCGCCTGCCTGCCCAGTGCAGAGCACGGAGGGAGGCTGCCAGCTGGGCCACAGCCATGTCAGGGGGCCCTATGCCCACCCACTGCGCACCCAGCTGGACACTCACTGCACCTCCAGCCACAGCCAAACTTCATCACCCCCACTTCCAGCCCCTGACATCCTCCCCACAGGGACTCTGGCTCTGGGATGGCTCCCGGCCCCAGCCAGTGACACTGGCAAAACAGGCACCGGCTTTCCATCCGTCCACAAGGGGTCAGGCTGGAAGGTGACAGGAGTCTGGGGAGCTGCCAGCAGCCTCCCAGAGAGATACCAGACCCACCTGCTAGGACTCTTCACCCTTGAGGTGCCGCCCAACGCTCCAGCCCACCGGCATCCAGCAGCTGCAGGCCGGCGATGGGGCACACGCCCCTCACTTCCTTAAAATAGGTGGCGTGGCTTCTCTAAAAGTGACACCTGCCAAATTCCACCCATCCGCACCACAGAGTTCATCCCCCTGGGCTCCCACCCCAGCCCCTAAAAGACTAAAAGACCGTCAGGACTTTCCCTTCTCCCTCTCACTTCTGCAAGGCACAGGGTGAGGCAGCTTTGACACTCACATTGGATTTCTCACGACAGGGCAATAAAATCAAGTGCTTGGTGTTTAAGAAAAGAAGGAGGGGAGTGGAATGCAGGCAGGGGAGCTGGGACGGACAAGTGGATGGCAAATAATAATGAGCACCTCACAATAACCCAGCACCCACTGTGTGCCAGGCCTCACCATGTCCTCATTCCAACCCCACCTGAAGGTCGCTGGGGGAGGGTAGGTGAGGTGCCCCAGGTGGCCCAGCTATTGAGTTCAGAGCTGTGCTGGAACAGAGGTCAGTCCAATTCTGAGGTCTCTGCCCTTTCCTCTGCCCCTCTAGTTCACTCACCACATCCCTAATAATGTCTCCTCTTGGGCCTAAGACAACTGGTTTCTGGGCCTGTTTCTTTCACTAATGTGCTATGTGACTTTGGGCAAGTTTTCTCCTCTCTCTCGGCCGCCCTGTTCTAGGAGTCAAGGACTCTAATGTCCATCACTGTGAGCTCAGGCCTTACCTTCAAAGAGTTTATGGTCTGTCAGTACTTCAGTGTCTACAAATGCAAAATTAAAGTCACGCCTTAAAAATGGCAAGATGATCCAAGGATGGCACTGAGGACTGGGGCAAGCTGGGAGGCTCTGTGGAGGAGGTAGTGCTAGAGCCGGACGGAAGACTGAATAGGCTGACGAGAGGGGTGAGGTGGGAGGCCTAATGGGAACAGAACAGGGTGCAGTCATAGGCAGTGAGGGCCCTCATCTTGCAGGAAAAAGCTGGGAGTCTATCGTGGAGGACCTTGAATGCCAGGCAACAAGGTTTAGGCATCAAGGAGCCTCTGAGGTTGAAGAACACGCTCAGTATGATAAAAGCCATGTGAGGTGAAGAGGACAGGTGTCATGAGACCTTTCTGGACAGGTAAGAAAACTGGCCTAGAAAGGGGAGAGCTCAACTCACTGGATCCCCAATCTCACTGGGTAAGGCATGCAGTCAGGACCATTTCAGGGTCTTCACTATGCAGATGAGCGGATAGAAACCCAGAGAGCTTCCGGTCCCCAACGCTACCCTCTCTCCAGAGCTGTCTGGACTCAGACTCACTGGACTCAATCTAGTGTCCCCGTCTTACAGATGAACACATCGAGACACAGGGATGAAAAGTGAGCCAACCAAAGCCATAGAGCAAGGAAGTTGTGTAGAATCACCACTCCTGGCCTCAAGTCTAGAGTCCTGTCCACGCCACACCACAACAAGGCATAAAATATGAAAGACATCATTCAGTTAGACTTATGAGAAGACTTCCAGCAAGGCTGAATCAAGATACTATCAGGAACTAGATCTTTCTGCAGAGGCTCCTCCAGCCCACAAAGGTCTCCCTCCCCTTTGCTGTTTATTACAGAATTGACTCTTGTGTCTCTTTAGCAGCTCTGTTTGGTCTGTTACTCCAATGAATATTTCCAAGGGTGTCTGTCTCCCCTTTCCAACTCACTTGGGAGCCCCCTGACGGCTGATATCACATCTTACTCATCTCTGTGCCTATACCACGAGCTACCAGACCAGGGCCCTAAATGCAGAAGGTATGAAACACACCTGATGGATCATAGTCCTGGAAAGGCGAATCCAGAAGAGGTCTTAAGTGATAGCTAGTCAATGGTTCTCCAACTTCAGCCTGCATCAGAATCACCCAGAGGGCTTTTTTTTTTTTTTTTTTTGGCCGCTCCAAGAGGCATGTGGGATCTTACTTCCCTGACCAGGGATCAAACCAGCACCCCCTGCGGTGGAAGCGCAGAGTCTTAATCACTGGACTGACAGGGAAGTCCCCAGAGGGCTTATTAAAATACAGATTTCTAGTGCTTCCCTTGTGGTGCAGCGGTTGAAAGTCCGCCTGCCGATGCAGGGGACGCGGGTTCGTGCCCCGGTCCGGGAAGATCCCACATGCCGCGGAGCGGCTGGGCCCATGAGTCATGGCCGCTGAGCCTGCGCGTCCGGAGCCTGTGCTCCGCAACGGGAGAGGCCACAACAGTGAGAGGCCCACCTACCGCAAAAATAAATAAATAAAAAATAAAATACAGATTTCTAGGACCTACCTCCAGCAGAGCTGCAGTAGAGCCCAAGAATTTGCAACAAGATCCCAAGTGATACTGATGCTGCTGGTCCGGGGACCACGCTTTGAGAACCAGTGAGCTAGGTCAGTCCTCCCATTTTAAGCTGGGGAAGATGAGGCCCAGAGGTTTTAAAGGCAGCAGTTGACAGTATATCACTATCATCGTCGTCGTCGTCACTGTCATTTTAGCCCTGCTCACCTGCCCAGCACTGTACAAGCACTTCATGTTTGTTACCATCTCTGGGCCTCACTCTAAGAGGACAGTATTATGATTAATATTCTCCTGCAAAGGAAAGAACAGAGGCAGAGTCATCTGTCCAAAGTCACACAATTGATAATAGTTAGCACCACAGCTTGCACTCTGATCTAGGTCCAGAGCCCAGAAGCTTAACCACCACTCTACATAACCTGCTTACAGCTTATGCTGACCAAGGAATTATCTAGAGTTTCTCAAATCCAGCAGGCTCATTTCCGGTGAGGGATGAGGTTGTGGTGCCCTCAGTCCAAAGGCCTGGTTCTCGAGCGGTCCATGACTGGAGGAAGATTGCCTCTTAAGCCCCACGAACCCAGAGTATTTTCTCCCTCAAACACTTCTTTTCCCACATTACATCCTTCATCTGGCCCCACTGATGGGGCCTTCCTGGCTGGAGGACAGATATCTGCATTAATTCTTCAGGTCCATGTCCCAGCTCTACCTCCCACTCAGTGACAAAACACAATAAAACAATCTCCATTCCTACGATGATACTGGGTTGTCACTGTCAAGTGTGGGTCTGCTCCCCCATCAGACTGGGAGCTCACAGGGGCAGAGACCTCATCTGAGTCCTCAGCACAGGATCTGCCCAGACCAAGGGTTTAGTGACTAAGTGATGAATGAATGAATGAATGGATGATTGGGTATAGGGGCCAATGAGGGAATAAGTGAGTGAATAAAGGACCAAACTCCCAGGAATTCCCTCTGCTGGACCTTCTAGCCTTCCCAGATAGGACCACAGACTCTCTAGGTGGGAGGGGACTTCTGACATCATCCACTCCAACTCCCACTTTCAGCACTGCCCTAGCCGAACCCCTCCAGGGGCCAGAACCTGCAGCCGTCCCATCTCCACACACAGGCCTAGTGTCCCAGCCTCCATTTACACACCTCTAAGACTGAAGAACTCACTCCATCTAAGGTTGCCTGGACGATTAAAGAGCTCTAATATCCACAAGGATGTTACCATTATCCTTAGCCATGAGGATAAGGCCATTACCTCATGACCAAGGCTCTGTGACACCCAGAACAAGGCTGCTCCCTTAGCCTGTGACAGCTGGCAGAGACATGGGAGCACATGGCCTGTCCTCTACTGGCCCTAGTCTCCCTGTTCATATTTCTTCTTTTTTTTTTTTTTCGGTTTTTTTTTTCGTTTTTTTTTGTTTGTTTGTGGTACACGGGCCTCTCACTGCTGTGGCCTCTCCCGTTGCGGAGCACAGGCTCCGGACGCGCAGGCTCAGCGGCCATGGCTCACGGGCCCAGCCGCTCCGCGGCATGTGGGATCTTCCCGGACCGGGGCACGAACCCGTAT